TTAACAAGTGACACAATTAAAGTTAATAACAAATACACAGTTTAAGATGGCCAACTTGATGTTTGAAATTAATTAAAGATTACTTTTAGTACGGGTAACTTAATTGGGTTCCAATATTTCTATTTTGGAAGGTCGTGTTTAACATTCATAAACTAGTAACAAAAGCTATAGAAAACAAGTTTTAATATTCGTAAAGCTTTCTCGCACGAACAGTTACGGATGCATTGTGCGAAGCGAAATTAATAATGCGTTAGGGGGAGTCGAGGCGCCCTATTTCTTCACATGCCGTCCCCGTATCAATGTAGGGTAGAAATTTGAAAACACAATTAGAGTTAATACAGAGGTGATTGTTGCCGGGCGAGGGTCGACTGCGAGGGGTTACGGTAAATCCTTTAATTTGACTGAGCGAGGGGCAGCGGGCGAGCGGGCGATATTGCTCGGTGGTTTTATTGCAAGCGCCATCTGCCGCGCGACGCTCCCTGTAGATGGAGAGATAATTTCCCTTTTAAAACGGAGGGGCGAAGCGACGGAGCGTCGATTGTGAGTCGTCGGGTTCATTTAGACAATTCACAGCGACGCGGTGAGTATGTCTGTAGATGCAGCAGATAGCGGCCCATTATGCGGGACCCCTGACGACGGCCCGCACGATGTGAACACTCGACGGCTATAATTTGATAAGGCGCTTCACACGCTCGGCTGCGCACCAGCGCACCGTGCGCGCCTATAAACTCGTTCCATTGATAATTAATGTTTACAACCCGACATACTTAACTCTGCATGTTATCGCTAAACGAAATATAATTTCGAAGTTATTCGATAACAAAATTTCTGCCAATCTTGATTAAATGTTGTAAATAGATCAAAGGCGATTATTGTATCAATGTTAAAATTAAATTATAAAAATGATAATGTAGTGTAAAGATTCTTTTATGATTGTGTTAGTTAGACATATAAACTGGTACTATTAAAATTCAAATTATTTTAGATATGATGTTTCACTCTTAAATAAAGTTTTTTTAACTAATAACAGTGATATCAAAAAACAAACAAAGAACACACTGGATTTGGTACTTAATAAACTAGTTTAGAAGGGACAGTAAAAGCTATCTCTGGCTACATTTAGTTAAAAGACATTTGATTACAAATCAGCCGTACAAAGCGCACCCTAATTACAATTACCAGGGTAACATAGTTGACTAGTCGGTCGATAGTCTGAAAGCTCAGTGGAAAACAAACAGGATTAGAGGAGGCCGCAGCCCCTGTTGTTTCATTATATAGCGGCTAAGCGGATCGGGCACGTGCAATGTTTTCATCACCGGCCGTCGGACGCGGCCCTAATGCAAGGGTAAACAAGCCCCCGTCCCGCTATCCCCCCAACGCCCCGCGTATGAATAATTTGAACGCATCACGCCGAGGGACAGCCGGCGTGGAATCGCAATAACCCGTAAATTATTTAATTATACGGACAAACTTCGAGCTTGGAATGAAACGCGGGAACCGTGGAATTCATTTTAACGTCGGATTTTATGTTTTTGATACTGGCTTTATAAACTTTTTTTTAATGTTGGAAGGTGAAAGCCGTTTTAAGATACATATCTAACATGATTAATTAATTTTCATTTAATACTTCAAGTCACGGTGATTTGGTTTTGATTTAACCCTACTTAATAGGGGATTGACGCACTTAAAATGATTTTAAGTGTAAATTATGTTGTTAAGATTTTTTACAGTAGACAAAATGTACTTCCGTCATCTCTTTTAAATAGTAGGTCAATTAATAAATGTTTGATGTTATACTACGTACCTAGATATAATATGTTGTTTTGTGTCTATGAATTGTATGAAAGCTTTAAAGAAAAATCTTTGGGTTACATTGTTATCGGATTCACAATAAACAGAGTAGATATTGTGTGAGGGTGCGGTAGTTTTTCAACGGCGTCAAAGTTTCATAACGTGGGGGGTTGCGGCCCCGAGCGGCCCCTAGCGGCGCTCGTAAAACAAACACAAAGCTGAGCGCGACCCGTATTGTGCAGCCCTTTTGTGTCGTTATGACGCTTGTGCCACTCCACCAAATCACTGCTCAAAACTCTCTCATAGTTTTTGCGATGCACTGACAAACTAGTAATTATGAATACTGAGTTGTCCGTTACATACACACTACAACCGAAACCATGTTAATATTGTAAATGAAAAACATTATTTTATCTGTTATTTTAAAAAAGTTATCAGGTTTTTTTAAAAAACGGACTTATCTACGTTTGTTTTTGGTTGACTGCACAATACCGTTACAGAGAACGTAATCGTAGATGTAATAACATATAATAGACATAAACATAGGCAAGGCATATCAGCAACAGTCGTGTATACGTGAAAGTCCATCAGAGCGTGAATAATATGAGAGTGAGTGCGCGCAACAATAACGCGGCGTGTCGATACAGGCACAAAGACGCAACAATCAATTCACGGCGTAAGTAGGTGTGATTCGCCACGGCCCAGCCCCGAGACTAACAAAAGAAAATCTAAGCAATTAGTCGTCGACAGAAAGAGCGGAAAACACGCGTTAGACGCGGTCACGATTCTGGCTCTGCTAACCGAAAATATGCCTTATAGACCAACCGCTTTTGAACGTTACTTTTACACAAAAGAAAATGTCTTTTTCTGTTTCTGATGACAAAATGTTAGAACAGACTTTACAGATGAATTTAATTAGGTAGAGAGTATCATACCTATCTGAATAATGTTACCTGTAGAACACTAATCACAAACTTATGAAATGTACAGACATGCTTGTATCATCAATTCAAAAACAATCCAAAAATAAATCCATAGGCCAACCAAGATTGTCAACCAGTCAAATATGTAAATAAAATTTCGAATTTCTATTGAATTCGACTATACAATATGTTAGTAAAATTCCAATCAAAAAGATTGCAACGTAGGGGATTATTCCTAACATTAATGTACCTCCTAATACTAGTGAAAGTATTTTATAAAGCACGATGTTATATCATTTGGTTCTGTTAACACCTTTAATCGACGACAGACCTGTCATATAAGTAACTTAAGAATGTAATGAACATGGTTAATTAAGAAATCTGACTTCATTATTACAAAAAAGTGTGAACAGAGTAACACTTTTATGTCAAACGTTATAAAAGAATTAAGTAGCTACATTTCTATTATACATAAGTTGGCAGTGTTGTAACTTAAGATTTTTAATTAATTAGTGACATGTAATTGGTGCTTATAGATGTTCGTAATCCGTGAAATGACCAGTCGAACTAATTTGTATTCAATCTCATACGAGATGCTTAAAAAAATTAATAATGGAATAGTTGAACCGTCACGCAATAGTCATAAAAAACAAGCACAATGTCGGACTGCGATGTAAAAACATCGCTCGTTATAACCATTATGTTAGAACGCAGAGTTTAACAAAGTGGAGGGGTACATTTCTGATTCTCGCTCGACTGAGCGTGTTAAGTGCTAATGTAATAATCCATTACAATGAAGCGCAGCAGTGTACGCTAAATAGCGCATTCAAGCATTGAGCAGTGCCGCCATCTGTCTGCCACAATGGCAAACAATGGCCCCTTCTAAATCACCCTCACTAGCCGGTCCTGTGCAAATATTACGCCGCGTATCAGGCCCTAGATAATTTTATGGACGGTGTCATCAATATTACATGAAGACCGACGGGGGTGTATGCTATATTTACGCGTTTAACGAAACAGACGAGGAATTATTGGTTTGTTGTCAACTTTTTACAATGTAACAAAATATATTTCTGCCTTTTACTACTTTTTAAAAGCAATTACAAGACCAATTATCAGTTACATTAAAAAAGTAAATTTATCCGTTGTTTGTATGTTTAATTATTGAAATTGTTGTTTAAAAATATTATTGTTTTGAATTTGATCAAATCATAACATAAAATATTTCTGCATCAATTCAGATTGACTTTTGACTTCGAAACCAAAACTTTGATGTTTATAAATATTGAGTTACATTTAAATCTCAGTATCAAAGAATACATACATTTATTTGTTAAATGTTAAAGTTTAATAATGCTTTCAAAATTTTCTCGATAAAATTTTCTCACATCGTGAAATATCATTGATAGTATTCAGAGAGGCGTAAATTGATTTTGTTTTAGCTTTGAGTACGTGTTAAAGTACTGTTATTATTAAAAGTGGGGTTCTCGTAGGAAGGAAGGCGAGGAGCGTAAAATCAACAGATTACCGAGGGACCCCCGCGGGTCGCCCCTGCGGCGCGGACCCCGGCGCAACACTCATATCTATTCGTTACCTACCCTATTGTTACCCTGCGGTTAGGGCTGTCGACTCAATGCAAGGGGATTTCAATTTAAACATCGCAGTTAAACTAAGCTATTAGTATAGATTCGTAGTAAATAGCAGGTAGTTAAACCGTTTGTTTGTTGAATTTTACAAGTGGGTAATTCTATTGAAGTGATTTTTTTTCTTTGTAACTTTTATTTCGCATTGTCAGCTGTCATGAATATAAAAATTCAAATACATTTACAATTCGATATTGATAAATTATTGAAGAGAATTTAGTAAAAAAAATTGTTTTTTAAATTAGAAACATACAACCCTAGAAACGGGCTCGTTTTGTGAATTCTTCTAAGCGTCCCTAACTAAAAGATATATGTTGTTCGTTTCAGTTGCACAGCCCGAGGGGAGCTCGTCCTGCCTCCCCCTATCATATTTCGATCATAACGCAGTGTATTGAAATAAACGCCATCACAACATTTCTCTATTACCGCCGACGACTGCGTTTGTTGGCCAAGTTATTCTTGTATTTTATCTATGCGATAAAAATGTTATGTCCCCGCATTATGTTATGATTTTACGTCTATAAATTCACATAATACATATATTTTACGTACAAAAAAAAACGTATTTTTAATATCTGCATAAAAGTATTACAAGACACATTTACTTACAAGTAATTAACATTTTAAATATTGATATACATACCTGTTTGTGCATTTCCACATTGAGTCCATATGACATTTCATAGTACTGAAACACAAACGACACAAATTAGTGAGCATACATTACTGGAGGCGCAACGAATACGACAGAGAAAACGTTTTGGCGCGGATTAGCCTCCTCAAATCGTCGGCGTCGGGGCCGAGTGACTAAACATCCGCACTCGCTTGGAAGCAAGCCAGAAGTGTTTCCGACACATAAAAATGCTCCTGAGAATTTCCTCTGAAGCATATTAAAATAAATTGCAAGCGATTTGGCAACACTTAATCGTGATTCATATCGGAATGGTAGCAGCATACGGGAGCGAGAGCCCGCCAAATATTGGTACGTTTTTTATATTTAATGTTGCCAGTTTTTGCGGTTAATGCTCTATTTAGAATTTGTTTTATACTGCTACGGGATTATTAAAGCATCGTTACAACTTTTTTTTTTAAGTCTTGTCTTGTTCTTCCAATAGTAAATCTTCAAAGTCTGTTTCAAGTTTACACTTAACAAAAAAAATTCATTGGAATGTTACTTTAGTAGTCATATCATTTAAAATGCTTATTTTTAAGATTGTAAAACGATAAAAGTATAAAGTTCTCTAGATGTTATTATGATAATAGAAATGTAAAATATTTTATAGGATGTCTGACTCAGAAAAGAATAAAAACAAATTCAATTGAATACTTTTTATAGGGTATAAAAAATGTTAAGAGTTGGCAAACATGACACTGTTATTAGCGTGTAATTTAGTTATAATTACACACGAACGACGTATAAGGATAACGACAAGTCATAATTCAGTGTAAACATGCTGGTGTATTACTCATAACCATTGCAAATGATCAAACCACAAAATGAACTGATGTAATTAATAAATCATCATGAGGACAAAGAACTTTTGTTTTTTAATTAAAGAAACTAAACTTACCATAACATAATGCCTCTGTATTTCGATTTTTTCACTAGCCAGCTTTTCGCATTCTAATTTTAAACTGTAACAAACAGAAACTGTTGTCAGCCCTATTCGCAAGGTGATTTTACAACGTGCGTTTAAATATCGATGAAATTAAACATATACATTTCCATATATCAAATTGCACCACATTCTTATCGAAGTGTTGCATTTGAGCGTTGGATGAACGTGAATATAGTGATTTCAAAGCGTTCGTGATTCAACGCCGAGCGTTAAAAAAGCGCCCGTGCGAATAGGCTTTTGGTAACATTTGTATTGACATATATTGTTGTTTCTTCTTTTTTAATAACAACGTGAGAGATGACAATATATATACAAGCGGCAATATATTGGATACCCACAGTTATCGAGTATTGAATGTATCGATTGAGTCACATTATCTTGATAGGTAATAAAAGTAAAAAGGTAATGGTGTCGGGTCGTTAGTTCGCCGCATGGTGGCAAGGCAATAAACGTTAGAAGCGATTACAGTAAATGCCAGGTTGCTTGTGTGAGCAAACACACGTATAGGTTTCTATATGACACATGTTTAATCATGTAGTATACGAAAGCTTTGATAGACACACAATGGGTTCACAACTCGACAGATTGAGAAAGCAAATATCTCTTGATAAATTAAGAAACGCTAATAGCCTAATGGTTTTGTGGTACGGACTACCGATCTTGCGGTCGAGGGTTCGAATCCCGCCATCCGAGTATTGTCCTAGAAAAAGCCTAGAGCTTAGTTGTAATCGTTAAAGGTAATATTAGTAAATTAACAAAAATCTACTAATTTTTTCATAAAAAAAGTAGATTTGTGCTATTCAACCATTATTATTATTACCACTACATTAAGTGTATAGATGCTTAACACCCTTAACCCCCTAAAATCCAATTATTAGTAACGCTTTTGGTAGTCTCAAGTTTTTTTTAATACAGTTTCTCAATCCCTTATTAATAAAATCAAATATAATAAACCGACAATAAATGTATTATAATCCGTGTTTAAATGAGTAAAATCAACGTTAATACGCTACCGTTCTCGGTCTGTGTTACCATTAAACGTGTATCGTAAAGCGAACAACTTTAATCGATGTTATTTACTCGGCATCGTACAATAAAAAAAATCGATAACACCACTGACCTAGTGGAAAAAACAATCATTAAACCAGCTGTTGGACTATAAAAACTTCTTATCGTGTTTAACTACAATACCCGTTTAAACTAAGCAATGAGTTGAACCGATTTTAATTTTATTATGTTTCGAGTTTGACATAATATTACTACGCTTATTGATATTTACTGCCATATTTACTGATTGGTATTTAATAATCTTTAATGAATATTTCTGTCTTGAAAATCTCACGAAATTTTAAGTCATCAATAATGTGTGTTGTTATTCATAATATTGGGGTTCACTTTAAATTCACATCTGACAGAATCGGTATTGGCACAGACCATAAATCGACACAATTCAACGATATACGATGCGATAAAGCAATGAAATAGATATAATCTATTAAATAAAAAAGGGCAAAAAAGGACTGTGTAGAGCCCCGAGAGCACAGGTAAGAAATGATTTCACCGATATACAACGACAAAGGGTACCCCGGATTACCCTATTTTAGATGTTTTGTTGCTTTAATGTATAAATGTGTTTAAAAAATAGAACATTTTTTTTTAAATCTTTACGGGAATATGTACACATTAATAGGATAGAAGTAATAAGACAGGTACTGTGATAAAGGTACTATAGATTGTTGATACTTACTTGTGATATTGTGCTTGTAAAAAATTAAATTCTTCCTTTATTCTGTCGCAGGATTCAGCCACTGTGAACTTGATAGGCTGGCCGGGCTGCGGCGGACCCTGTGGGAAAATAATTATAGTAAATATGTGTAAGATAAAAACTTAGGGAGTCTTATTAGGTGAGTCTTATTAGATAGTAATTCATATTTTACGCTATAGCTCTAATGCCTAATTAGTATACCAGTTTATTTTTTTAGTTTATCGTTTATCACGTAAAAGTTTTAAAGTAATTGATTTACTATTTGTATACTCCAACAGAAATAAAAAAATAACTAAGAAGTATAAATTTTATTATTATAACAAAGTTGTTTTATGGCAGAATGTAAACACTTTGTTTCTTGAAAACAAAATATAAAAACCACTTAAGTTATAATAAAATAACAGATCAATTACGGACACCACACGAAAGCATTCCTATTACAAAACAAAAAATTACACGCATCCCAAATTACCATAATACAAATTATCCTTTAATGACCATAATTCGGTGTGAGGGCCGATTAATAAGAAAGAAAAACAACAACGCCGACCGCTCACCTTTTAACACAGAAATAAAGCAAAGCGAACACGCGAGCGCGTAATAATAAAGTAAAAAGAGGAATAAAAAAACCAACGCCATAATAAGAAGCAGGAAAATAAAAATAAAGCGAGGGACACGACAACACACGGTCGCCGGGAGGCCGGGCGGCAAAAAATAAATAACCGTCGCCCGACGGCGTGCGAGGAACAAACGGACTTTAAAAATAATAAAAGGAGCGTAAATAAAAGCGTAAAAGGAACTGGCGCGGCGTGTAGACGTTGTAAATGGAGCCGCGGACAATCGAGCCCGAGAGAAATGCGCCCGGGAATTTAGTGAATGTAACCGCCGGGGAGAGGCGACCGCAGCGCCCCCAGCGACGCTAATGACCGATCGCACTCAATGACCTGATGCGTGAGGGACGGCAGTCGCGGCCCGGCCACTTCCCGCGCACTACAACCACCTCAATTAAAAACGAGTGCACATTCAACGCAGACAACCTGCCACTCGATTCAATGGAACGTATTTCTTTATTTCAACGTTGATATACTATAGTCCAAACTTTCTCTTGACTCGATCTTGAGTAAAAATAACATAACTGAAAATACCATCAGTCCCTATATCGACTTAAATATATCCAATAAACAACTCACAAAGAAGAAATTCCATAAACCGTCAGTTATAAAATTATCATAACATTTGTTATCGTTCTGTTATATCAAAACATTTAGCGAGCGTTCGCACGGACGCGAAAACGCTAGGCGGTAACTATGTGTCAAAATAGAACGTATGGGATTGTATGAAGCTGTTCA